CTACTGCTGATTGCATATTGTTGCATAGTTTTTTTTCTATAAAAATTCCCAAGTCCTTTTCGTTTGTTGTTATCCCTAATTTGTTAGGAAGAAGTGATTTTCGGGTATGTTGTCTATGTTATTTTAAAAAGACTTTAACAAAACTTATCTTTCAGTAACCAAGCTTCAGCAAAAAAAAAAAAAAATTAGAAACTGTTCTGGTATTTTTTTTAATTCAGGATAAACCACAATTCATTGTTCATTAACCCAGTCTCAACAGTATTAAATTGTTTGTTAATTTAGTATTTTAGAAATAATTGAGTCACTCTAGTTCTATAATGCACATTATTCTTAGCTAAACATTTATAAGCCAAATTGACATCCACCTGGCTTTTGTAAATTTGCCAAAGGACTGTAAATAAGAGATGGATAACCAAATCCATTTACAGTCCTTTGGCAAATTTACAAAAGCAGAGAACTCTGGTCATTCCAAATTTGGCAAATTTCCCAAAGCAGAGGTCTCTGGACATTTCACACAAAACTCATGCATTATAAACCTGCAGTCACAAGATAACCCATTGCTTTTTATTTTGATTGTAAATAAATTATCTTTATATAAAAGAAAATAAACAGTACATATGCTATTGGATAGTGTCTTATGGAAAATGTTTTCCACTTAAATCTGCGAGATGTCAGGATTATTAATCACAGCTTTACATTTTGCACTTGGTTGTTAATATACAACCTGCACATACCCTTTGTTAGTGCTTAATTTTGTGTTAGGCAGATAACGTCACTATGTCAGACACAGAGATGTACTATATATTAGACTTGTGCACAGTGAGAGGTTGAGCAGATAGAACATTTTTCAAGACACCTGAATTACGTACATTTTGACTCGCCCAATCAGACGAATAAACGTAAAAGGCCCGAAAATGGGAAAATCCGTGTGCTGTAAACTTTAGTGTATAGAATTATTATTAGTATTTATAATATAAACAGTACACTGATAAGAGCATTTTCCCACCATATGGCTCACAGATCAAGTATTAAAAATTAACTAATAGAGGGACACATTCTCCATTTATATACTATAAATATAGAATATACGGCTACTCAATGGATTTGTGAACAAAATCAACATTTAGTGACCCCTCTAACCATCAATCATCTCTTTTTATTTGGCGCTGTGAGCAGAATTCAGAGTATTGAACCCACCCCTGAACATGTTTGGCATTAAGCGTTTCAGTTAGTCTGTAATTCGGGTATATTTCGGCATAGAATTCAGGAATTTGACCAAACACCCAATCAGCCCGAATTAGGTCGAATTGCAGTTCTGTCCAAAATTAATCTCCATGTCTATTATATATTTATAAGTGAAGTATATGAAGTGTATTAGTGGTTGCCTAAGCACATTCACAGCACAAACTTGCAGAACGAATTCACTAAAATGGCAGAGAGTTGCACATTTTTTGGCTCGAATGTCAGAACCTTAAAAAAATTCTCTAAATTTCTCTTGTTAGCAGCCCACAATTCCCAGTATAGTGAAAAAATATCTATGTCTCATGGAAACATAAAACAAGTTTATTTCATAATGAGATTTCAAAGTAAATTCAAATTTTAGACAACAATAGACAAACTGAGAACATTTCCATATCTTCTATTTTGGCTAAAAATTTAAAATCTGCTTTGAATTCTCAACAATTCAAATTTTAGTGACTAACTCTTAAAGTGTCACACCAGATATGAGCCTATGGGTTGCATTAGTCTTTTAGTATTTATATCAATAATTCATATCTTATTATCTGTATCTAGCCTGGTGTCTATGATTCATTTCAGTTTGAGCTGATCTGGCAGTGAGTGCTTGGTTGGTATATTAATCTGTGGGTAGTCTGTAGTTTTATCAGTTTGTATCCACATAATTCATTGTATTTGGCACTGATGACTGAGCTGAGTTATCCTGGCAAGATGAGCCAGGCTTTATTTGGCCAATGTAGAAGATAATTATTGGCATTTTATCAACGTTGCTCATTCACAGTTTTTTTTCTAACAATTATCACATCATTTCCAATACATTGGAGTTCATGTGCTCCTTAAAGGGACACACCAGTCACCAAAACAATTTTAGCTTAATTACCGGTAAGCAGTTTTGGTGTATAGATTATGCCTCTGTAGTTTCACTTCTCAATTATCTGCCATTTAGGAGTTAAATTACTTTTTGTTTCTGTTTATGAAGCCCTAGCCATACCTCCCCTGGCTGTGACTCACACAACCTGCATTAAAAAAAGGTAACATTTTCAATCTGATGTAACTTACTTTATAAGTTTTTATCTCCTGCTCTGTAAATTAAACTTTAATTACATGCAACAGGCTCCTGCAGGGTCTCGCAAGCCATTAACAGTGCAGGATATAAGAAATTCTAAATTAAACTGAATGTACAATTAAGGAAGTGTAAACATTAGATGACTCTTTACAGGAAGGGTTTAGGAAGGCTGTGCAGGTCACATGCAGGGAGGTGTGCCTAGGGCTTCATAAACAAATCAATTTAACTCATAAATGGCAGAGAATTTGACCAGTGAGATTGCAGGGGCATGATCTATACACCAAAATTGCTTTAGTAAACTATTTTGTTGACTATAATGTCCCTGCAATTATTAAACATGTATTTATTTTAGTACTGTGATACCCATATCCTTTTTTTTTTTTGGTTTAAATTCTGTTTAACGGGGGGCGGAGCTTACCTGCCGAGCAAGCCAGACGCATATGGCAAGAGCTCCCGCATTTGACGCCCTGATTCTGGGCTTAACGCCCAACCACCGGATCATGCCAGCTGCAGACAACTATCTTTCAGTCCAGGAGGGGATGCTCAATCCAGGGATGCCCGACATGGGTCTCCCTGCTGCTGAACCATCCACATCGCAGCCTGTGGCCTGCACGGCTGGAAGCCGCGGAGAGGCGGTCGCTCTCCGGGTTCTCAGGATGAAGAGGGAACACTCGCACATCGCTTCCCCCCCACCCGGACCGGTGGGGGTTATCCCGGTCCAAGACAGCATGGGAGGCTACAAGCTTGGACATCAAGGCAGACTATAGTGAACCCTCAAGCAGAGTAGAAGCAGAGATACCCAAGATGGCAAACCGACCTAGCTTCGCAAACATGGCGGACGCCACGTGCCGCCCTGCACCTAGCACCACACTGCCCCCGTTAGCGGAGAGGATAGACCGCCTTCTGGAGGCTTTTTGGGCCAAACTCGCCCTCCACAAAGATACATGCAGGGAGCCTTCGCCTACAAGGATCCCACCAGAGCCAGCTAAGCTGACAGCAACACCCAGACAGGGCCATGGAACAGCCCGACTCGCGGGGAAGAGAGTGAGAGTGATCCAACGGAAACCTACACACAGACGCCACACACCCAGCCATGCAGACTAGACACTAAGAACCGTGAGCACCATGTTGAGCAGTATATGGCCTCACGTGAGATAACGCTAAGCATACCTCAGCATATATAAACCATTACTGTTTAAGCCTGTACCGTTAGATATACTCATACTGTCATTCACATGCAAAGTATCAACATGATAGCACAACCTTATCCACGATCAGCTAGGAATGCAAGCTATAAAACTAAATGTATACAGCTTATGTCAATAGATACTAAACTAGTCTAGACAGCATTGTTTGAAGAATGACCTATTTACCTAAGCCTACCTATACTATAAAATTGTGCCTGTATTTAATATATCCCGCATGTTCAGCGAGGAAAACACCTGAGGACTGCTTTCGGGGCACCTCAGACTTGCTTGTAAAATGTATATGCACTGCAAAAAAATAAATAAAAATAAAATAAAAAAATTTCTGTTTAACTGTGCTTTTCTTTTCTAGAGTACTGAGCCAAAAAGTAGTCGAATCATGTTCCAAAGGAATAGCGCAAAGGCATAGCATGTTCACTTTAATTCGTGATTCTGAATTTCACTCATAGCACCGAAAATAGATGATTAACTATCGTACACATCAACCCCCTAACTTACAATAAAAACCAAAGAAAAGAGTTATTTGCACACTAACCCAAATCCCTATGCACATTTAAATAACTGGAGGTTTTTAGTATTACTACAGTGGCCATTTAAGTGTAAGCTCACCTGCCACATCAAGGCAAACCTCTAAGGTGAGTCCTACACTTACAATTCCCTTTGCTAATTTTTAGATTCAGGTAAAAAATCTCTAATCAGACAGAGAGGGGTATTGTTCTAAATTCCTACATACTTACAAACCCTTAATAGGAAAAACATGGCTCTGTGATACAAAAACAAATACAAAAATGCAGAATTAAGCCTTGCGCCCCCTACTACTCCTGGGCGACAGCAATGACTATAGTACACATCAATACAATACATACAATAAAATAACAAACATTAAAAGAGTGATACTAAAACTACAATTTTTTTTAATGTGTATAGTAATTTGGGATAGTGCAACTTTTCCTTGTATTTTATATACTTGTCTTATTAACCTAACACTAGTTTATACCTACATATACAAAATAAAACTTTCAACTTACAACGTTAAATAATGTGATAATTTCTCCTGTATAAAAGAAGGTTTAAATGTTTTGACATTATCAAAATGCTCCCCAAATTATTATATATCCATGTTAACTAGTCTTAAAGGAACGCGCCACACACCTGGGCGGCAACTTTCCCTTTAATAGAGTATCCATGAAAAATAAGCATGACTGAATACAGATTTCTTCCTAGGAAGTCTCCAGCCACAATGTGCATGCACCCAGTCTTTGAATATCTATGAAGCCTTATATGTGCATATGATTATTTACATCCTCAGTCACCCCACAGGAATGTGTGCAAGACAAAATCAATGCTGAAAGAAACCACCTTCTAGGTTGTGATCTGAAGAGTAGCAGAATGAAATCCCTGGAAAAGAGAGACAATCATTTCATTGCTATTTTTTTTTATTTGAATAAATATTTGTATAGACCACCTGTATAGTTCTTTACAAGAAAGACACCCACCTAATATCTATGTAAAGCCACATGTATCTTTGTTTAGGGACACTCATCCAATCTCAGCTCACTGGCAGTGTCAATTCTTCTACAAACACAATAGAAGAGTCCTGGGAAACCAGTTCCAGTTCCACCCAGCAAAGCACTGGTTAATTCTGTCCCCTCCCAGCATCACAGTGTATAAATGGCTTCATCTCGTGAGAAGCAAAGGTTACACGCTGCAGATGGGCAAGCTATGGGTTAATTGCTGCTGCCTTCCCATTGGCTGGGAGGAGAATCTGTACTGCCACACAGAGCAAGTTAGAATGTCGAAAACGTGGCTGCAACAGTATCTGTTCCAGGGCTCAGAGCAGCTCTCACAGTCTCACATCCCAGGAGTGAAGGCAACCTGGCCCTGGCTTCTCGTCCATGGCATCAACTGCATCATCACAGGGGCACAAGATACATGACAGCTGTCCAGACAAGCAGCAGCAATCCATTAGCCAAGCTAGAGCCCTGACAGCCCAAGATGCTTCCTGTCCCTGCAATGCTAAATGACCTTCATTGTACAGAAGAGGTTGGAGAGCAGATCCACTTCCTTGCCAACCACTGAAGCCCGTTTCAGAGATCTGGTCCTGTTCTACATGGATTTCTTTCTTGCAATCTGCTGAGCTTCATGTCTTCCCTGTCTGACTATTTAACATTGAGCCAATATGACCAGTGTGCATGGAGGAAGTCTTAGGACATTTTTACTGCTCTGCCTCTTTGGATGCAGACCTATTGAGGGCTGGATGAACATGCATGGGGACCAGGTCAAGACAGGGACCCCAATATTTTCTGAGGTGCAAGCTTCTGCTGCAGGTGGGAGCATGGAGGTGGAAGCTGCAACCACACAACGTTACGTCCAGCGTTTGAGAAGAGGCACCCCTTCAGCAAATGTATCCAGACAGAAGATCCAGGCTAATGCCTTGCCAAAGGGGTTTGTCTGCCCATATAAAGTAATCAGTGAGGACAGGGCGAGCCATAGAAGCATCTGTTTCAGGACCCTGGACAGCAACTTCCATTGTGACCAAAGAAACTGCAAAGCCTTCAAATCCAGGGGGTCCTTGGTGGCCAATGTCTTGAGGAACAGCAGTGTGCTCTTGCAGTGGCTGCCCCCAGCCCCCCAGCTCCAGGATTTAAAGGGTTTCAACATGAACTGCTCATGGAATGGCACGTTCACACGCTTCCTGTGTGACAGTGTCCAGCTGGGTATCAGCTGCAGGGATTACCTATTCTCCAATGTCCATGAGAATGTCAAGTACACAGTGTGTGTGCAGACACTTTACACAAACAGGACGTCATTGGAAGAATGTGTAGAGTTCACTGTGGAGCCATTGGGGATGCAGGATATAGTGATTGCAATGACAGCAGTAGGGGGCTCTATATGTGTGATGCTGGTCATCATATGCCTTTTAGTGGCCTATATCACAGAAAATCTTATGCACCCCAATTTTAGCCACCCTTCTGCCAAAAGGGGACCCTGATCTCCCGGGTTTCATATAGCTGAGGATCACTGGCAGAACTCTTTCTATGCTCAGTATGTTTTTTTTTTAATGTAGAATAAGTTTGGATTTTACATGATCAGTTTCTGAAACCTGGAATAGTGGGGGGTTAACTTGCTTCTAATTCCAAAGTAAAGTTGGGTTGACCTTCACCTAAGAGAGGGCATCACTGTGAAACTAGTGACAGGGGTTGTATTGGGTCCTATTTTGTATTTAGCTATTTATAAGTGTGTGTATTGGTTGTGTCCGTGTTTAATGGGGGCTCTGAGCCTCATAGGAATGAAAACGTGGATGTTAAAGTCAATAATAGGTCCATCTCTGACGAACTGATTCAATTATTTCATTCCTCTCCATTGCCTTTGTTTCATTTCAATGCGGGCTTTTTAAATTAACAATAGAGTGGCAAAGTAGTATAGGATCAAATCTAGCCTGTGAATAGCCATAAATGGGAGAAGGGATATAAAATTTAACAATTCGTTTTTTACTGTGTGATTGTTAAGCGTCACTTAGGTACAAAAGACGAATACATGATTTGGAATACTGTGACATTTAGCTGTTCCTGACTGCAACTCCCATCACTGCCAGGCAGACTATAGAAGCTAGGTGGACGATGAGAGTTGCACTCAGATTGGAGATGCAGGGCTGCAGTTTGCCAACCCTGATGTTAACACAAGTAATATTGGCAGTGTGTGCTGTATGTATTATGTATGTAGAGTTTTGTATTTCAAATAATGTCTCCTGGAAGTAGTAGCCTTAGCATGGGGATTACAGTTTATTGTCTGTCTGTTTGGGTATCTGTCAATGACAGTATTAATGGAATATGTGAATTTTGACAAAGTCTAGCAGTGTATATAGCACAGAACAAAGCCCTCACATTATGTCATTTTTCATAATAAATGTTACACATAGCAATAATCCTTACTTAAAATAAGGCAAATATGATCATTGCTAAATGAATCTTGACAGCTCTTTTCATTTGGTTTATAAACCAAAAATGTCTGCTGTTGCTGTAGACATTTGTACCTGGGTGACTAATGCAGCATTCTGTTCTCTATTCTTGTCTGATTGCTGGCTAAATCTTGCCTTTCTTATCACTTTACTGTCATTCCTCTTTTACTGCTTCAGTAATGGATTTTAATATTACACTGCTTCAAGGTTCATTTAAGCAGCCTAATTTTAATTAGGAACAGAAGGCAAGCTTGGGAATTAAGTTCTGCAATACTAGGATGCCTCCCTGATGCATTACATATTAAAAAACTGAATTATATGTTATCATTGTCATCATAAAATAATATAATAGCACATATTCTGTATCTCTTGTAGGATATTATTTGCACAGACACATTAGTTCTGTACAGACAGAACATTGAAATAATTTAGACTCAAGGTTTCGGAGCTTGACCCTCTATCTCTTGTAGGACTAAGCTGACCCTACATTGAATGTTGTTCTACGTTAACCCCTTTTACCCTGTTTTGCCATTGGTTGGAGGGCATGTAGTCCAACAGTCCTTGCAGGGCCAAGTTTAGACAGCTACGATCCAGAGAATATCACACTATACTCTGCTACAGTATGCAATAACTAAGAATTAACATGATAATGCTAATATACGTAAAGTTTGAAAAATGGAAGATATACATATAGTAAGTTTAAACCTCAAGAAATGGAAATAAACAACAGAAAGTGAATTTGATAATTAAGTACTGGATAATACAGTGCAGGTTAACAATAAGCCCTTATATGTCATGGGTTATAGTGGGCTATATAGAAATGCTTGTGATTTCAGTAGAATGCCTTGGGTAGAGGAACTGACTCTTCCTGCTTTAATGAGATCAAATGGCATTATTTGAGAAGTGCAATGGAAACCGATGTATCTGTGCCTCAAGAGGTTAACTCTTGATTCCCCATGTGGGGATGCAGTAAATTGCAAAATGCAGAGATTCACAATGCAGAGAAAAAAACTAGAATAGAATAATAAAAATAATGCAAGGTTTAATGCCATTTAATCGAGTCCTCTCTGTAATTAGATAAAAGACTTCAGAGAAGAATCTATGAGATTTCACTTTTTTCAATTTACTGCTAGTGAATTTCTTCCGACGAGTTTCATGCTACTTTGGAATGTGAAGAGTTAAAGTACAGTACATGGTCTATTGAGAGTTTTGAGGCCTACTTATTTATAGTGTGGCTGAAGACGGCAAGATTAAATTAGTAAAATATTATATACTTGATTTGATCAGTTCTCAAAATTCCATCTCTGCTAGTATAATGAAAGAGACTCGTAACCTCACTTAAACGTATACTAAAGGTTGGTGTTGACCCATTCTTTTTATAACATATAGAACATGCATTAAAAATAAATGCAGATACAATACATTTCAAATAATAAAAAGTATATATTTGCATTTGAACTGATTGTGTTTGTTTAAAATCCCCAGGCTTTATAACATTTGGAGTGAGTGCTCACCAAATCAAGATGTGGCTCAACTAAACATTGTTCCAAAGTACATTTGGTTTTATCCCCATAAACAGTACGTTATGGGTCCAGGAAAGGATTTGGGAGTTGTAGTTCAATTGTCAGTTGTTTAGTGTATCTGACTTAAGGCAGAGCATTATTTTTGGTGTTAAATGAGGAATCACTGCAAGTTGGGGGAAGAGGCTTAAAGGATGGTTATGGAAGAAAATTAAGCATGAAAAAATGAAGCACAGCAAGAAAATTGCCCGAACCACTTTTCCCAAAAGTAAAACATGTTTTGGGACTCCCGAGTTTCTGCCAAATTTTTGTTCGGCTTGGCAGAATTTCAGTAACCAAAAACTGGCTTTGGAAACCAAATCAGCTGAACCAAATGGGCACAAAAAGGGGCAAAACAGTTGCCATATACTGACAGGAGCATTTTGCCGCCATTTGGTTCACAAGTGAGAAAGTAACCAATAGAGGGAAAACCATACTTATTAAATATATAATAAATATAGATTCCCCTCTACGCCTCCTGCCTATTGGTCACTTCTCACTTGATTTGTGAATAAAATCAACATTTGGTGACATCAATCATCTTTTTTTCCCATAAATCATTTCATTTTTTTGGCGTAATTCAGAACCACAATCTGAAACGAACATGCTCCACCATTGCAAGTTTCGGTGTGCGAGACTTCCTGTAACCTAACCTGCACATTGCACCTATGGGTGCCTGGAGTGCCCAATTTAATGTGGTAACATTCTCCCTATCGTGAAAAATAAGCCAAAGTTTTGATCGTACCAAAAACACTTAAAGGGTTAATTCCACATAAAAAAGTAAGGGTTAATTGTTTTACCTGAAATACACACAGTCAGTACAATTGCAGCATGTCTAGCTGTGGCCCTCCAACTGTTACAATATATTTCAATTAATCTTCTATCAGTGTTGGTGAAGTCCCAGCCAAAAGCTGTTTTAGTAAAGGTGACTAATTTGCAAAGTAACTTATCTAGTGATCCAAGTCCTGGTGTAGCCAGGATTTATATTACAGGTAACCCAGACACTACATAAGCCCTTATATTTATTTATCAGTATTTTAAAAGTACGGTGAATAGGACTGTCAGCAATTGGTCAATAATTATATTATTATTGTCTGATTGGCATTTCTGGGCACTGGATACTGGCGTTAAGGGTTTTGCTTGATGGAAACTTCTGTATGTACCCAAGTATTATTTAATGAATTTAATAATATCCTGTTGATATGTTTAATATGGAACCTTTAATTAAAAACAAACAAAAAAAAAAAAAAAACAATATTCATCTGCAATAAAAATAATGTAAACCACTCTACTTCATATTTCACACCAATGGGCAACTTGCCATAAAGCTTAACCCTTCTAGTTCATCCCTCACAAACCAAAACCAAATCACCCATCACATTAACTCATACATTGGCAAAGTCTTGTCTTTCTATTTGCAACCAGCCTGCATTATAGCTCATATAATCTTATGGTATAGTGATCCGGATGTTAAACTATCTTTCACCTCTCTTAACAAGAACGGATAACGATTATATTTTTTCAAAACCCTTTTTTTGGGGTGTTACAACTTTTAAGTGGTGTTTTTCCTGATAGGAATACTTATTCAGGATAAGCAGTTCTTTTTTTAAATTTTTGCCATTTATTGGTTTTCTAAATGGGCCTTACAACGTCCCTGACTGGAGTGCCATATGGGGGTAATATGATAGTTGTAATGCTACACTGTTTCAGAACTTCGATAATTAACATATATATACAAAAAAGATCACGTTGTCCATCACTCAGCCGTGTGTTGTGTGTCATTTACAAACATCAGTCCCATTCAGAATCTTTTGAGAATTTAATTGAACTCCTGTCTTGAAGGGTTTCTTTCATTAAAGATAAATACTCAATTTTAAAAAAAGGTGTTACTTAATATTGACATACGGAACGTGGTATGTGACTTCACCTTTATATTTGCTGAATATCATCTAAGAAAATGTTATCGCTTAATAGCAATATAGGAGTAACAACGCATTTAATGTAGTTTTTTTTCCTTCTTCAGACTGTGAAATTAAAGATTATGTTTCTTGAAGAAACAAATGACAAACAAATAATGACAAAGAATTTTTAATTTGTAAAATCAGATTTGCAATTTAAGATGTGTCAATAGAAAAATAAGTATAATAGTAAAAGAAGTAATGAAATGCTGTATCCAGGTCGGATATTCAAGAGTCTTATTGAACAAGACTCAAACAGAGCTTAATAGAGACAGATGGAGGAATCATTGTTCCTATATAGACACTGGGCTGTGTAACCTGCAGCCATGATAATCATAACAAATCATGAGATGGTGTCCAATTTACTTTTACAAATTGTTTCATTCTCCGGAACCAATTGTGTAATCCAGTTATATGTGATTTCACGCCATGCTCTGATAGTTATGTAGCTATCAAGACATTATCCTCAAAAAAAAAATAATATTTATTAATAAACCCAGTTTACAAATGACAAGAAAGAAAACCTTAAAGAACAAAAGACATATTCGATAAAAAGTGTGCCCTGCTTGTTGTGTAATGTTATTGCCTCAGTTTGGTCTCGAGAAATGATTCCTAGTTTGTTGTTTAACAGTATTGAATTATACAATCTGTAATCTAGACCCTAAGGCATTTAAGTCCCTAGGCCCCCTCATGCCTGGGTCGTTTGAAGGTGGGGGAGCCCTGCAATTTATCTAATAGGGGGAGACAGGAGGAACCGCACAAAGGGTACACTTCTCTGTACGGTAGAATATTGTTCCATCTGTCACCAGCACGCACTGCATGATGACGACAGACATAGATTTGACATTTGTCCATCCAAAACACAGTTCTAGGCTGCCATAGTCCCTTATCTGATCTGATGCCCCTGGCACACAAGAACACATATCTTTGAATGCGTAGTGTTACATGCATACAGACTCTTAGAAATTTCAAATCACTGAAGTGGTCATAGTGGTTAGAATAACCCTTTCATTTTTTATACATGTAGCATATGTTAGGGTAGACTTTGTAAACTCCTACAAGCATGACCCTTTTTTTAGGTCACATTGGAGGGAAGAGAATAATCAATTTCCAAAGTTTCAAATATCTCTTAAACTGAACAGCTATGACTATTGCAACTTTGCAAAAGAGCGTTTGTTACAGAATATGAAGTAGCATTTTCCGATTTTAGCTCCTCTTTAGGAAAAGGTCTACCTGTCATTTTACAAGACAAAAAAGAGTATTACCGATTATTTACTGTTATGAGATTTATTAACGGAACAAATAATTTTGATGAATTCAAAACTGAATTGTACAATTTTGGCTAACGTAGATAATTTAGTATTGTCTATGTCAACCCTAGTCACAACTCTGCTATTTCAGCTAAAACGTTGTAGTTCTGATTGCAATTCAGTGTTTAGTGAAGGGACCCCACCATCCTGATGATTTGTGAGACTGAAAGTCCGCAATGACCTTTGTAAAATAAAGCGATCAATAAGTGTATTGATTAGAACCATTACAGTAGAAAACCACAACGATGTCTTCACAAGGAGTGCACTATGAAAACACGATTTTCGTTTCAGAATAGTCAGACCTATGGGATTTTCCTTCACCCTTGACCTGATTGAGTTAAGAAGAGATCGTCTTTACACTGGCAAATAGGTGTTGTCCATTCTCTTTACCGATGAAAACCTGGTTGCGGAAACTGCTGCGTGTGATTCTGTTTTGACATCCGAAATTCAATGTGTCGTAAGTTAATTAGGAAAAACAAACGTGTAAAAGTAATGAAAGACAATAAAATTAAAGAAAATTATTTGTCAGAAAGGCAACACTGGGTAATTTATCATGAAGTCTTTCATCGTGAAATGTGCAGATTGTGTAGAAAACAACTCCGCGACAAACACATGAATCCAGGTATTTTTGTCCTTACATCTGCCGAATACCACATGTTGTCTGGAAAAACTGAATATAACACATACTGAAAACAAGAGTGGGTAGAAAATGTCAGGAATATTGATGGACTTAAAACACTTGTGTTTTATTTTTATAAGACTTTTATCCCTGTGGAATATTATACCTCAAAATAAACGTGATTTTTGTTATGTGAATGTCTATGTTTATTTTATTATTGTGAATACATTGTTTGCTATTATGTTGGAAATGTGTTGCACAGAATAGAATTCTTATGTACTGCAAGACTCATTACACAACATTGAGCATGGATTTATGGACAATGTTCCCAATGTAACATCATCTATTGGTAGAATAGAGACCTTCTAACGTTCATGGAGAACATTTCCAGAGAGTTACGATGAACTAGGCGCCCACACATCTACGCACGTTATGCATAATTGTTTTTATATATTGACATACATGCAATGTTTTTGTTTATGGAGAAAAATTAGGGGGTAAATATATGGAAAATGAAGATACAAAGAACCACCATATTCTCAGAAACTGCAATAATGAACATTGCAGGGTTAAGGGGACATGGACGTTGCACCCAGACCACTTCAATGAAATGAAGTGATCTGAGTGCCAATACTGTCCCTTTAAGAAGAGCAGACATAACTTTTAAAGGAGTTTAACCCCTTAAGGGCACATGACATGTGTCACATGTCATGATTCCCTTTTATTCCAGAAGTTTGGTCCTTAAGGGGTTAATATTTTATCTACATAGTGTTTAATACAATTACATGCACAAAAAGAATATACACAACTATCAGTGGGAAAAAAACATTTACTGAATAATTTAGAAAATAATTTATGAAAATGTGTCCTCACAGATTTTCTTTGCTTTCTACAAGCAATGGAATGGTCAAATACAGTTAAAGGAATTCCAGTTAATGGGATATACCTCAAACAGCCCAGAATAACAAATATTTTTTTTGCAGCAATGACAATGGTCAATTTACATAAGTCAATTGATTCTTAATTGTTCTCAAATTATCTTGTTATATCCAGAACATAGCTAGAAAGTCAATCCTAAAGTCATATTGCCAGATGTTAAGCTAGTTTTGCTTGAAGAAACACTCCAGCCCGCATAAAAACATCTTCTCAATGAAGTCGCTATGGTGGACTTAAGCACTCTCATACCTAGTGGGCTTTAAGATGTCCTCCTGGTGCCCATCTGCTCCATGATTTTTACTCCAGTCCCAACACTACCAAGAAAGATCGTCTTGGGCACTGGTGATAGGTTAAAAGCATCAGGTGACACTCTCAGCTCATCACTGGCATGGTATGAGATGCTAGCTGCGGATCTTCTACACCTTTATACAATCTCATCAACATGTTAAAATGGACATCTTGCAGAGTCAGTTGGATAATTTCACACATCAGAATGGACAACAAAGACTGACACAATTTAATCTAGTATCTTTTTCTCCTTTAGCCCCAATCATGGTTTCAGCTGTCTATAGCAGTGTGCTCATTGCAATTCTTGACTGTCTTTCGGTTTTGAAATTGGCTAGGTTTCACATGATTGCAATTTCAAAAATGCTATACCTGGTTAATTCTTCTATATTGTTCTCTGTTATCCTGACTAGCTGTTATTTAGGTTACACTTTGCCTGTTTTTTTATATGTATATTGTTGATTGTGGTCATTCCTCACGACGTTAATATATTTTGTATTAAGGGTATTGTGGCAAACCCTGCCACTAAAATACTAACTATTCTGTGCGAATGAACATTGGAATTATTACAAGCGAATGGGTGCAAAGGCAGAGACTAATTCACGAACGGACTATAATGCTATTCATGCTGTTCTGTATGCGAATGCCCTGAAACTACCGAACGAGAGACCACCCTGGGGTGGTCGTGTGTCTCATATTAACCAAAGATACAATGTTGCGAAGTGTATTAAGTGCCAGTGTGTGTGGCCGCCATTTCGCCTACCGAACACGTGGCGGCGGCCATCTTACACACAAACAGCGGTACTTGGTCGTCGAATGCCTGGAACTCAAACCGGGCATTCGACTAACCAAGTACCGCTGAGAACTCCAGCACGCTCAAAAAGCACGAAGCAAACACACGAACACCCCGGCGTTCGGTAGGTAGAATCCCGTGAACGAGGGGATTCATACGAACGGTAACAGATGCCTGGATGCCTAAGCTTTATTCACTAGAAAAGACCGACCGCAGGGCCAGAATGCATGGAACTGTTTTCGGCTACTGAGCCCGTGCGGTCGGTCAAATCTTTCACTGGCTGTAACTCCCGAACCCCTGGTCCGATCTGGGTGAATTTTGAGTATGTTGCTCACCCAGGTCAGGGCTACCAGGGGACCCCTTATTTTACCCTGTATCCCCTGTCTTTGGGGGTGATCCAGAATATGGGGAAAAATTTATACATTTTAATTGTGTTAATGCTTAATCTAAGGGGAGGAGAGGTAGGGGAGGTGACTACTGTGTGATTGGTTACTATAGTAATTATGAAAGTGACCTCCCTTGCATGGGAGAAATGCATAAAAGCAGACCTGTGAATAAAGCTGACAGTTGACTCCCAGACTATGTGTCGTCTAGTCCTTGGGGAGGTGGATTATGCTGTGTTCCTGTAATTTTGTATGCTGAATCTTTGTTCCCAGCGGAGAGCTATTGGATTAACCCCTGCTACTCCGCTACAGGTATATTCCGAATGTGACCTCCTCTAGGGGAAAAAGAGCCAATCTTAAAAAGGCCAGACACTCAAACAGAGGTGTAATAACAGGAAGAAAATATAACAGAAGTGAAGAAGAAAATGCGGAGAAACATGAGGAGTGATGCATAAGACAAAAAGGGTGTGTGGGGGGGCAGAGTTCTCACACAATTGTATACACAGGCACCGACCAAAGAGCTTGAAAGGGGTTATTCACAAATTTATGAAATATTCACTATTGATTTCTTTTAAGGTAGGGGATAAATGCAAGCTACGCAGGTGCAATTAATCAGTCATTAAAATCCAAACCTGTGTGTCCTTATCCACATAATACATATGAATAAGGACCTTCAACTCAGAAATGTCTGACGTTTTGTGCTTCTGGCTTTCTCCCCTTGTTATGCATTGTCTTTATTTTTTGTTTATTTTAATGGCGGTTTTCTTTTTTACTTTGAATAATTTTCGAGTGGGATTTCCTTGCCGGGCGTCCCCTAGAAATTACAGAAATTTTTAATTTATTTAGAATTTCTGGAAACTTGTATTTATCGCCCAAACTGTTTGTAGGCCTGATCTTCTAATAACTTGTTGTCCCTCTTATAAAGCAGTGTAAAAATGGCTGTCTCTGCGTGTTCTAGCAGCAGACATCGCTCTTAGCTCTCCTTGCACTCCGAAAAGACATCATGATTGACAGCACTACGAGGAAGAGATATGATCTCACATCCTCACAATGTACTGAAAGAAAACAAGAGGGGATGTGTCAAGGGTCCAAATGAGCTGTCTCTGCCAGAAAAGCATACAGAGCATACTCCTCTGCAAGTTATGAAACTTACTGATAGGAACTGCAATCAGGAATGTCGCTGAAAAAAATGGGATAGAGACTGTAAGAGATATGGAAGGGGTAGAATAGCATTTATGATTGGGGTCAGTGAGCTAAATAAAGGGTAATAGTAAGAGAAAGAGCATGAATGAAAAGTGGAAGAAGCAGTGATATTAAGAGCGATCTTCTGACGGGAATACAAGAAAAGAGAAAAGGACAATAAGAGCAGAAAATGGAAAGGATGGTGAGATCATGAAAGAAAGTTAGACAATAGAGAAGAGATTAAAGATGGTGAAAACACTAGAAAGGAGAAAGAGAACACTGAAGAAATGTGCACAGAGAAAAAGAGAAGATGTGTGATCATGGGAGATAAGTAAAGGAGAGCAGTAGTAAAGCAGTGTAAGAATCAGAAGAAATGGGAAACAGCATTAGAAGAGAGGACACACAGGGATAGAAAGTTGGCGAGAACAATAGAGGGAAGAAGAGTGAACATAGAGATAAACATAGAGAAACATAGGGAGCGAGTGCAAAATACCTCCATACTGAGAGTAAAAACTGAGCAAACTCATACCCTAATACACCAAGGGGCGCCCTGCAAACATTTAAATATGATTGCAAACCACTGATTCATGGAGACGGTTGGGGTGTGGGATGGATAAGGGTCTGGATCGTTTAGAGCATATAGGCAGAAAGAAATAAACAGTGAGAGTATGGGCTGTCAATTAAAAAAGTAAGCACTCAGAAAACAAAAATACAATGTATGCTGAAAACGTGTGTAAATATACTGGCCAAAAAAAAAGAGTGATTCATCCAAAAATAGAACCGTTAAAAAAAACCTCCATCTTTAGAGCAATTCTACAATATCACATCATTTAAATGAAAAGAGCTATGGTTCTAATTACAAACTTCATCACAACAAGAAGTACACTTCTGTAATCGGTGTTCTAATGGTACCTACTCTTTGACTCCATAAGGTAAGTTAACGTAAGTAAAACTTTAAAAAAAACTTTTATTTCACACGGGGGGGACGGGACACAAAGACGTGTATACAGGTAGGGATAGGGACACTGTAGCGTTAGGAATAAAGATTTGTATTCCTAATGCTATAGTGTTCCTTTAAAAGAATCATAAGGATAATTTATTTCCATATTGTGAGTTTATTAAGCATTCCTCTAGATGGCACCATTGCAACTTTGTGATCACTGCGGTTTAATTCCAAGTCTCTCTTACTAATTTGCTGTGTAATCTTTTATTTCTCTCTCTTATAATGTGCAAATAGTATTTATTTATTTAATAGCTCTTACATAGCGCTCTGAGAGTTTACGATTTATGCAACAATAACATTTTTAAAGGGACATTCCAAGCACCATAACAACTTTATTGGAGTGAAAAGGGCACATCTCTTTTTCACTCTCTTTTCCTAGTGTGGAGCTGCTGATAGGCTGAGAGCTCGAGCTGACTCTTACTGCTTATCAATGGCTCCCTGTCCAAAGCTTCCTGTTTGAAGCCTCAGACCTGGAGCGGAAGTTGAGGGTCAGAACCACTCCGAACCTGCATAAAGACTTTTCATTACCGTTCATTAACAATTTAATAAAACAATTTAACCCTTACAGATAAACAGTCGCCTTGCACTTCCACCCACAATAACAACTTCATCCTTATGAAGTTGATATAGTACCCAGAGTGGTCCTTTAATTAGATAGAACGATATATAACAGCTGAAAGCAGGAATGGAAGTAAATAGAGAAGTGACTTGGCACCACACTACCCTTCTCTGAACAACTGTGTGTAGCAAGTGAAGGAAACCATGTAATCACAACTATTTCCATGCTATCATCAACCTATAATACACCATAATGACCACCAGCATCTGTAATAACACTGTCAGCTACCAATTTCACTGAGCTGCCAACTATAGAGTCCTCTACCATCTGCTATACCTGTACCGTCTTTCATCCTACTTCCGCATTAGATATATCAATTTAATCCCTGTTTGATCGGTTCACGCTCTCACCCAATCAATTCATTCCAAACAGGCAGTGAATTTATCTCACCAATGTGGATGTAGCAATGTCTGCTTTTAGGGGTATCTGAAGATGGCCTAGAACACAGGCGACCGGGAGACCTTACAATTACAAATTTCAATCTGACCATGGTGCCATGGAAATTCTGGCACCATTTGCACTATAGCATGTTTTATTGGTTGTGCTGCATAGAATGCACTTTGGATTAGTGGATCCACAGTGATACGGTAAACCAGGCTGTGGGAAAAGGCAGGCGAATGGTTCTACTCTTGCATTATTGGGAGAGCCGGCATTTGTCTATTTTTGTGTAGAGGGAAGGAAGTGAAGGTAAAGTTTGCTTGCATTTTGGTGATGGGGTTAACCAATTGCAGACAGCATCAGGAAAAAGGAATGGAAGAAGCACATCACAGGTTCCTGTAAACACAAATGCTGTGCAATTACCAACACACCCATTCCATTTCCAAAAATAAAAAATATATTGAGTGAAAAAATGTATTAGGGGCAAGAAGGCAATGGCCCACCCAGACTTTTCTAAAATCAGGTGTGCATGGCTGCTGGCACCATTGAACCAGATAGTGGTGACTGCATAAAAGTTTAATTAGTGGGTTACTCTAGGCACCATGACTTTGTTAGTGATTTGAAGTGGTCATGGTACTGGGAGCTTGTATGTGCAGTGTTTCAGTAAGTAAGACATGCAGAGTTATTTTGTTCTGCAGCCATAGCTGTAAATCCACCTACGGAAAAATCATTAGTAACAAGGAAGAACTAATATTAAATCTATGCATGAAAAATTTTCATCAAAAGCATGCATTGCATTCTGGCAATGCAGGTCCAATAACGTCATGGCCCCCCTTTATACACTATAGCTCCTCCCTTAACCGTTCCTTAAATTGTACTCATCTTAATCCTGTGGATTAAGCCAAGATGGACACTTAAAGGGAAACTATAGTGCCAGGAAAACAAAGCTGTTAAAAACCCCTTCTGTCACTCGCCTGGGTCCAGCGCAGATGTCACTCCGCTCCTCCCATTCAATGCCTTTAAATGCTTTGCTATGGGGATTCCGGTGATGCTGGAATTCCTCATGCGTAGCGTGAGGACGTCCAGCGTCAGTTAGGCGACCAATAGTCAAACAGAAAAATGGTGCACTGTACCTTTAAAACAATATTACAAACAAATATGCTACTAAAGAGAAGCAAGTATAAAGTACAAAAAAAGTACGTGAACACAGTGGTATTTGTTTAATGTGCAAACAATTGTAAACAATATATTGTGCAAAATGAGTGCAAAAATGTGTGCAATCGGCTACAAAAGTGGTCCAAATAAAGTGGCTGGTAGACAGCCACTAGAGGAGGAGTTAAACCTGCGATAAATATCTTTCCAGGGTTAAGGGTGCTGGGCACTGCACCCAGACCACTTTATTGAGCTAAAGTGGTCTGGGAGTCTAAAGTGCCCCTTTAAATTTGGGGCGGGGGGAGGAATTATGAGCAATTAAAAACTGAAGCCAAATTCACACTTAAAACGATAGCTTTGTCTAACATATACTAACATCATTATTTATTTATTTTCTCTGTAGAAATCGGTGCAAGTTTTCACTAAAAGTTGAATCACTAGGGAACTCTTGTCATCTTCAGAGATTGTAAAGGAACTCATTGATCCTGAAGATCAAAAACTATTTAAAAGAACTCTCTTACATCAACCCCAAATGGAACACCTTAGTCCAGCCAACAACAGCCTACACATGCCCATGACTTGGGGCATGAGGAGACAAGTGCCAGGCCCATCACCAATAATTTACTAGCACCAACCAAATGGAATAGAGGCTTTTTAGTGACTGCTGAGCAATTGCTGCCCAGTTGCTAATCTATTACTGCTGGGGCATATAGCAGATATGACCCCACCCCAGTGGCGGATCCAGGAGGGGTAATGGGGCAATTGCTCCCCACCCCCCGAGAATCTCCCCTGCCGGCTAATGCAGGGCTTGCATTGTCCAAGTGCCAGCCCTGCAAAGTGCCTGCGGACCGGGGAGGGAGATCAGTGATCTCTCTCCCCGGTCTGCAGGTACTTTGCGCAGCCGGCAGAGAGTGAGAGAGAGGATCCAGAAGCTCTAATCTGCTGCTCCTCCGGGTCCTTCTCTCGCGAGTACAGAGCGTTGCCGCGGTTCCCACGGCAATGCTCTGGATCTCACGAGAGTGAACTCTAGCCCTGCAGCTGCAGGCTAGAATTCACTCTCACTACTGGATCACCAGGGATTCCCACTGGACCACCAGGGATCGAGATTTGTCCTCCTCAATAAGGTAAGAAGGGAGGGGGGACATAAATGTATTAATTTTTAGTAAATAAAAAGTTATTATAAAGCCTTCCTACCATCCTTCCCTCCCCCCCATACAAACACTACCCCCCATACACACACTGCCCCACAAACACTGCCCCCCACACACAAACACTGCCCCCATACACACACTGCCCCACAAACACTGCCCCTTACAAACACTGCCCCCATACACACACTTCCCCACAAACACTGCCACACTGCCACCCATACACACTGCCTCACACACACACTGCCTCACACCACACACCCATAGACACATTGCCCCACACACACATACACTACACACATTGCCACATACATGACCCCCCATACACACATTGCCCCACAGACACATACAGTGCCCCAAAAAACACGCCCCCATACACACACTGCCCCACAAACACTGCCACCCATCCAACTGCCTCACACACACACTGCACACCCCATCACATTTGCCCCACACACACATACACTACACAGATTGCCCCACACTGCTGCCCCCCATACACACATTGCCCCCACACACACACAACCCCCCATACATGCAGTGCCCCACATATACATACAGTGCCCCCATACACACACTGCCCCACAAACACTGCCACCCATACACTCTGCCTCCCATACACTCTGCCTCACACACACACACACACTGCACACATTGCCCCACCACACACATACACTACACACATTGCCCCACACACTGCTGCCCCCCCATACATACAGTGGCACACATATACATACAGTGCCCCCATACACACATTGCCCCAAACACACATACAGTGCCCCCATACACACACTGCCCCACACACACATATAGTGCCCCCACACACACACTGCCCCCTAACACACACACTGCAACCTTGACATACACTGCCGCCCTCACGCACTTCACCGCTCACACACACACACTGCAACTTTCCCACACACTTCACCCCTCACACATACCACTGCTCCTATGCCCTATATCCCAGCAAACCTCAAGTAAGTTGTCAAACTGTTCTTAAACAGTTTGACTACTTACTCTGGGATGGGATCCTGGCACTACTGGCACCATAACTACTACACTGAGCTGTAGTGTTGTTTGTGCCTGGATTATTTCCTTAAATAATCTACAAGTGCCCCTCCCGAGATCAGGCTCTGGATCTGCCACTGCCCTACTCATGGCATGGTGGATAGGGGCAACAAAGAGGAAATATTCCTCTCTATAGTATGCCCCCATCTTATTAATCACCTTATGCATTGCATATATTTATTGATTTTGTTTCTATTTAATTTTTGTTGCTATTTTGGCTGGTTATCAAGTGCTGGTCAGCTGCAACATACTTGAAGGGACATTATAGTCACCAAAACAACTTTATCTTAATGAAGCAATTTTGGTGTGTAGATGCAGTCGCACTGCTCAATTCTCTGCCATTTAGGAGTTAACTCAATTTGCTTATGCAGTCCTGGTCCCTGCATGTGACTTGCACAGTCTTCCAAACACTTCCTGTAAAGAGTCATCTTATATTTATCTTTATTGCAAATGCGGTTTAATTTAGAAGTTATCTCCTGCTTTTTTAATAGCTTGCAAGACCATGCAGGAGCCTCCTGTGTATAATTATGGATCTGTACTTGGACCCATTCTCTTTAATATTTTTATTAGTGATATTGCAGAAGGTCTTGATGGTAAGGTATGTCTTTTTGCTGATGACACAAAAATTTGCAACAGGGTTGATGTTCCAGGAGGGATAAGCCAAATGGCAAATGATTTAGGTAAACTAGAAAAATGGTCAGAGTTGTGGCAAATGACATTTAATGTGGATAAGTGCAAGATAATGCATCTTGGGCATAAAAACCCAAGGGAAGAGTATAAAATATTTGACACCCTACTAACCTCAACATATGAGGAAAGGGATTTAGGGGTAATTATTTCAGATGACTTAAAGGTAGGCAGACAATGTAATAGAGCCAGGGACGGATTAACATAGGGGCTGATGGAGCTGCAGCTCCAGGCCCAGGCCCATGGAATAGGCGCATTGATTTTAAAAAAAAAACAAAAAAAACTTTTACACACTACTCTTAGGGATTCCACCTGCCTTTTATTTTATTGGCACAGCCAGTATTTGAGGCTGCCGGGTTGGTGCCAATATTGCAGTGATACTGGCAATATAAATGTTGGTATTTACTATGCAATACCAGCACTGGTCAGTAGGGGTCGCTGTATGTGGAGACAGGCAGGGATAGGAAGTTGCAGCATATCCCTCCCTGCCTATCTATACTCACTGATCTGCAGGGGTGCAGCTACAGAGAGTCCAGACAGCAACTCCCACCCTGCAGAGACAGCCTACAGCTCAGGGAAGTAAGGGATGGGGGGGGAAAGGCTGCAAGGAGACATACACTGAGACACTAAGGGACATTGGGAGACATTATGGCACAGACACATGGGGACACAGTGTCCCCATGTCTCCCAGCCAGTGTCCCTGCTGTCTCAGTGCCCCTTAGTCTCCCAGTGTCTCACTGTCCCCATGTCTCCTAGTGCCTCCATGTCTCTCAGTGCCTCAAGTGTCACAATGTCCCCAAGCTAGTGTCCCTAGTGTCTGTGGCCCTGGTGTCTCAGTGTCCCCATGTCTCCCA